GTCTGCCAGTCTGGATAGAGATGTGGAACTGCCCAGTGCTGACGTGGATGTGAAACTGCCGAGTGTGAAGCTGACTGGTCCAGATCTCGATGTACATGGTGTGACTCCGGATGCAGGTGTGAGCGCCAAGGTGGACGTGCCTAAGCCGCATATCTCGATCAAGGCACCGAAATTCGGCTTCGGTCTGGGCAAGAAGAAGGCGAAATTGAAGACTCCGAAGGCTGGTGTGAAGGTGGAAGGAGAGGCAGGTGGGAAGGTGGATTTGGACGCCGGACTCGACGCCCACATAGATGGCAAAGCAAGCAAGGGAGGTAAGAAATTCCACTGGTCTCCGAAGTTCGGGTTCCCGAAGGGTGGTCTGAAGATGCATGGTGGTGGTGGTGTTGGAAAACCGGACGCCTCGATATCTGTTTCGGGTCCGACTGGTGGTGTGGATGTGTCGCTTCCGAAACCCGAGCTCGACGTCTCACTGGAGGCTCCTGAGATGGAGGTGTCTGCGTCTGTGCCGGAAATCGGTGTATCTGGTGGTGCAGGTAGAGGCGGAGAGTTGGGACTGACTGGACAGGTGTCCGCTCCCGATGTGGACGTCAGTGTTCCATCGAAGAAGTTCACCTTCGGTTGGGGCTCGAAAGGTAAGAAGGCGAAGAAGGTGAAGGTGCCCAAAGTGTCAGGAGACGTAGACGCTGGTTTGGATGTGAGTGGGAAGGTTGATGTCCCCAGTGTGGACGTGGATGTGGACGCAGGTGGACGAGGTAAAGGTAAGAAGTTCCACTGGTCTCCGAATATCTCGTTGCCGAAGTTCAATGTGCACATGCCAGATGTGTCAGGAAAGGTGCATGCAGACGCACCTGATGTGAGTGTGAGTGGAACTGGTCCATCTGTGGAATTGCCATCTGTGAAAGCCAGTGCTCGTTTGCCGAGTGTCGACGTGTCCGTTCCAGATGCATCGCTTGGAGGTGATCTCTCCGGTAAGCTTGATTTAGACGGGACTGGTGTGAAGATCTGTGACGCCGATCTGAGACTGCCTGAAATGGAGATATCAGGAAATGTGAGTGCACCGTCTGTGGAGGGAGACTTGTCCATCCCTCAGGTGTCTGCCAGTCTGGATAGAGATGTGGAACTGCCCAGTGCTGACGTGGATGTGAAACTGCCGAGTGTGAAGCTGACTGGTCCAGATCTCGATGTACATGGTGTGACTCCGGATGCAGGTGTGAGCGCCAAGGTGGACGTGCCTAAGCCGCATATCTCGATCAAGGCACCGAAATTCGGCTTCGGTCTGGGCAAGAAGAAGGCGAAATTGAAGACTCCGAAGGCTGGTGTGAAGGTGGAAGGAGAGGCAGGTGGGAAGGTGGATTTGGACGCCGGACTCGACGCCCACATAGATGGCAAAGCAAGCAAGGGAGGTAAGAAATTCCACTGGTCTCCGAAGTTCGGGTTCCCGAAGGGTGGTCTGAAGATGCATGGTGGTGGTGGTGTTGGAAAACCGGACGCCTCGATATCTGTTTCGGGTCCGACTGGTGGTGTGGATGTGTCGCTTCCGAAACCCGAGCTCGACGTCTCACTGGAGGCTCCTGAGATGGAGGTGTCTGCGTCTGTGCCGGAAATCGGTGTATCTGGTGGTGCAGGTAGAGGCGGAGAGTTGGGACTGACTGGACAGGTGTCCGCTCCCGATGTGGACGTCAGTGTTCCATCGAAGAAGTTCACCTTCGGTTGGGGCTCGAAAGGTAAGAAGGCGAAGAAGGTGAAGGTGCCCAAAGTGTCAGGAGACGTAGACGCTGGTTTGGATGTGAGTGGGAAGGTTGATGTTCCCAGTGTGGACGTGGATGTGGACGCAGGTGGACGAGGTAAAGGTAAGAAGTTCCACTGGTCTCCGAATATCTCGTTGCCGAAGTTCAATGTGCACATGCCAGATGTGTCAGGAAAGGTGCATGCAGACGCACCTGATGTGAGTGTGAGTGGAACTGGTCCATCTGTGGAATTGCCATCTGTGAAAGCCAGTGCTCGTTTGCCGAGTGTCGACGTGTCCGTTCCAGATGCATCGCTTGGAGGTGATCTCTCCGGTAAGCTTGATTTAGACGGGACTGGTGTGAAGATCTGTGACGCCGATCTGAGACTGCCTGAAATGGAGATATCAGGAAATGTGAGTGCACCGTCTGTGGAGGGAGACTTGTCCATCCCTCAGGTGTCTGCCAGTCTGGATAGAGATGTGGAACTGCCCAGTGCTGACGTGGATGTGAAACTGCCGAGTGTGAAGCTGACTGGTCCAGATCTCGATGTACATGGTGTGACTCCGGATGCAGGTGTGAGCGCCAAGGTGGACGTGCCTAAGCCGCATATCTCGATCAAGGCACCGAAATTCGGCTTCGGTCTGGGCAAGAAGAAGGCGAAATTGAAGACTCCGAAGGCTGGTGTGAAGGTGGAAGGAGAGGCAGGTGGGAAGGTGGATTTGGACGCCGGACTCGACGCCCACATAGATGGCAAAGCAAGCAAGGGAGGTAAGAAATTCCACTGGTCTCCGAAGTTCGGGTTCCCGAAGGGTGGTCTGAAGATGCATGGTGGTGGTGGTGTTGGAAAACCGGACGCCTCGATATCTGTTTCGGGTCCGACTGGTGGTGTGGATGTGTCGCTTCCGAAACCCGAGCTCGACGTCTCACTGGAGGCTCCTGAGATGGAGGTGTCTGCGTCTGTGCCGGAAATCGGTGTATCTGGTGGTGCAGGTAGAGGCGGAGAGTTGGGACTGACTGGACAGGTGTCCGCTCCCGATGTGGACGTCAGTGTTCCATCGAAGAAGTTCACCTTCGGTTGGGGCTCGAAAGGTAAGAAGGCGAAGAAGGTGAAGGTGCCCAAAGTGTCAGGAGACGTAGACGCTGGTTTGGATGTGAGTGGGAAGGTTGATGTCCCCAGTGTGGACGTGGATGTGGACGCAGGTGGACGAGGTAAAGGTAAGAAGTTCCACTGGTCTCCGAATATCTCGTTGCCGAAGTTCAATGTGCACATGCCAGATGTGTCAGGAAAGGTGCATGCAGACGCACCTGATGTGAGTGTGAGTGGAACTGGTCCATCTGTGGAATTGCCATCTGTGAAAGCCAGTGCTCGTTTGCCGAGTGTCGACGTGTCCGTTCCAGATGCATCGCTTGGAGGTGATCTCTCCGGTAAGCTTGATTTAGACGGGACTGGTGTGAAGATCTGTGACGCCGATCTGAGACTGCCTGAAATGGAGATATCAGGAAATGTGAGTGCACCGTCTGTGGAGGGAGACTTGTCCATCCCTCAGGTGTCTGCCAGTCTGGATAGAGATGTGGAACTGCCCAGTGCTGACGTGGATGTGAAACTGCCGAGTGTGAAGCTGACTGGTCCAGATCTCGATGTACATGGTGTGACTCCGGATGCAGGTGTGAGCGCCAAGGTGGACGTGCCTAAGCCGCATATCTCGATCAAGGCACCGAAATTCGGCTTCGGTCTGGGCAAGAAGAAGGCGAAATTGAAGACTCCGAAGGCTGGTGTGAAGGTGGAAGGAGAGGCAGGTGGGAAGGTGGATTTGGACGCCGGACTCGACGCCCACATAGATGGCAAAGCAAGCAAGGGAGGTAAGAAATTCCACTGGTCTCCGAAGTTCGGGTTCCCGAAGGGTGGTCTGAAGATGCATGGTGGTGGTGGTGTTGGAAAACCGGACGCCTCGATATCTGTTTCGGGTCCGACTGGTGGTGTGGATGTGTCGCTTCCGAAACCCGAGCTCGACGTCTCACTGGAGGCTCCTGAGATGGAGGTGTCTGCGTCTGTGCCGGAAATCGGTGTATCTGGTGGTGCAGGTAGAGGCGGAGAGTTGGGACTGACTGGACAGGTGTCCGCTCCCGATGTGGACGTCAGTGTTCCATCGAAGAAGTTCACCTTCGGTTGGGGCTCGAAAGGTAAGAAGGCGAAGAAGGTGAAGGTGCCCAAAGTGTCAGGAGACGTAGACGCTGGTTTGGATGTGAGTGGGAAGGTTGATGTTCCCAGTGTGGACGTGGATGTGGACGCAGGTGGACGAGGTAAAGGTAAGAAGTTCCACTGGTCTCCGAATATCTCGTTGCCGAAGTTCAATGTGCACATGCCAGATGTGTCAGGAAAGGTGCATGCAGACGCACCTGATGTGAGTGTGAGTGGAACTGGTCCATCTGTGGAATTGCCATCTGTGAAAGCCAGTGCTCGTTTGCCGAGTGTCGACGTGTCCGTTCCAGATGCATCGCTTGGAGGTGATCTCTCCGGTAAGCTTGATTTAGACGGGACTGGTGTGAAGATCTGTGACGCCGATCTGAGACTGCCTGAAATGGAGATATCAGGAAATGTGAGTGCACCGTCTGTGGAGGGAGACTTGTCCATCCCTCAGGTGTCTGCCAGTCTGGATAGAGATGTGGAACTGCCCAGTGCTGACGTGGATGTGAAACTGCCGAGTGTGAAGCTGACTGGTCCAGATCTCGATGTACATGGTGTGACTCCGGATGCAGGTGTGAGCGCCAAGGTGGACGTGCCTAAGCCGCATATCTCGATCAAGGCACCGAAATTCGGCTTCGGTCTGGGCAAGAAGAAGGCGAAATTGAAGACTCCGAAGGCTGGTGTGAAGGTGGAAGGAGAGGCAGGTGGGAAGGTGGATTTGGACGCCGGACTCGACGCCCACATAGATGGCAAAGCAAGCAAGGGAGGTAAGAAATTCCACTGGTCTCCGAAGTTCGGGTTCCCGAAGGGTGGTCTGAAGATGCATGGTGGTGGTGGTGTTGGAAAACCGGACGCCTCGATATCTGTTTCGGGTCCGACTGGTGGTGTGGATGTGTCGCTTCCGAAACCCGAGCTCGACGTCTCACTGGAGGCTCCTGAGATGGAGGTGTCTGCGTCTGTGCCGGAAATCGGTGTATCTGGTGGTGCAGGTAGAGGCGGAGAGTTGGGACTGACTGGACAGGTGTCCGCTCCCGATGTGGACGTCAGTGTTCCATCGAAGAAGTTCACCTTCGGTTGGGGCTCGAAAGGTAAGAAGGCGAAGAAGGTGAAGGTGCCCAAAGTGTCAGGAGACGTAGACGCTGGTTTGGATGTGAGTGGGAAGGTTGATGTTCCCAGTGTGGACGTGGATGTGGACGCAGGTGGACGAGGTAAAGGTAAGAAGTTCCACTGGTCTCCGAATATCTCGTTGCCGAAGTTCAATGTGCACATGCCAGATGTGTCAGGAAAGGTGCATGCAGACGCACCTGATGTGAGTGTGAGTGGAACTGGTCCATCTGTGGAATTGCCATCTGTGAAAGCCAGTGCTCGTTTGCCGACTGTCGACGTGTCCGTTCCAGATGCATCGCTTGGAGGTGATCTCTCCGGTAAGCTTGATTTAGACGGGACTGGTTTGAAGATCCTTAACGGTGATCTGAATATTTCTGAGGCTTTTGCCGTTGAATGTTTTGATGGCCGTTTTTCAGGTTTTGATTCTGGTTCTCCTTTGGATGTCCCTGATTTGTTGACTGATTTTTCTGACTCTTCTGTGGGTTATTTTGGTGCCGGTGATTTGTTTCCGGTGTCTCGTTGTTCTGTTGATTATGGTATTGTGGCTGATGAACCGGTTATTGCTCCTGTTTCAGCTCGAGCTGAGTTTTCTTCTGAAGTGTTTGATTCTCGATTATCTCCTCTTTACGCTTTTCAGGATATTAATGAGACTTTTTCTTCTCCGCTTGATTCTGGTTTCAATGGTGATGCTTCTTATGATGACGCTATGTCGGCAGATATCGATGAGATCTTTATTGTTCCTATTCATTATAGTCGTGTCTTGCCGACGTTCGATGCTTCATCTCAGAGTGCTACTTTTGAGAATTCTGCAGATTTGCAAGATTTCCCGGCTAAGTCTTCCGGCAATATATCTCCTGTTAACCGGGATACAGATATGATGCACGAAGCTCTTCCTTCTTTGAAGTCACCGAAGACATCTTTTTGGCCACTGTCTCGAAAGCAGAAGGATTCTAAAGTTCATCGAGCGAGGCTGGCTGATGCTAAGAAGCAGAAAGTGCACGATTCTAAGCCTTATGATAACTCATGTCCAATGAATAATACTTCAGTACCAAGAAAAATAAGTCATCCTGATCACAATCAAGGGCTGGATTTTGACAGTAAAAACGTCGGAGGAGAAAACTCTTCATGCCTCCTTGTGAAGCAAAATCATTCGAAAGAATATTTTGATGACCATCATGGTGGAGTAGCTATATGTAGTTCCAACTTTAATGATAATCTTACTTCTACTCCTCGACGTTCACCTAATAAGTCCAGAGATCCTTCGATTAGGAAAACATGGCACGGACCACGAGAACCTTATTCTGATTTAACGGAAAATAACTATCCTGAAGAGCACGAGTTCACTTTCACAGAAGAAATTTCTGATATCCACTTAAAGCCAATGAAAATTACACGGAATGAAAATAATAAATCCCCCAATGTATCGGATTTCCTACGTCGAAGTATAGTTAATACATCAAAACGCCGCCCGTGGAGTACTTTAGAATATCCACCACCTGGATGTAAATTTGTAGACGATGATTATCTATTTCCAGATGCTTTAACTCCTACAAAAATTCCAAGCTTTCGTGCAAGTAAAGAAATTGTTTATGATGTGCCATATATGGATGACAAAGCTCTTCCTACCTATGAACCTGAATGGCCTTTAGGTGAATCAAGGCGAACATTAATTTCTCAATTGTCACAAAATAGCAATAGTTTGATACGGATAACAGCTGAAGAAGAAAGCAGTCTTATATCCCTTGGTGAGTTAGAATTCAATGTATACTTTTTTATTTGAAATTCATTTTGGCTTCTTTATTTAACATCTTAATAAGCTAATACGTGTGCACATATAGAGAGTAAAATAGCTGTTTTCTTACACCACTGGGTATAATGAATATACTTATATTATGCACTGGAGCATATTCAGTAAGACAGAATACACTGAATGCTATGATCACTTCAAACTTACTGGAATCGTCTATTTTTAAGCCACTGATAGTTTTGCAAACTGTTATCATCCTGTCATTATCACCTTTAGGCAGAAGAAGATGAGAGTTCTCCCAAGCATACTGACAGTTTGCTGAAATGGCTTTTATCTCGGATATATGGCTGTTAGAGAAACCTTGAAAATCTGAGGGCACGGGACTGTTGCTTTCGTTCATGTTTGAGACAATACGCACCAACAACACCCACGAGAAGTCCAGTCAAAGACCCTCACATTAAGTTTATTTCCATCAATTTACAACATTGTAGTCTACTTATTGGCTAACAGTGAAATCCAGAACGTGCATTTCCTTCTATTTGGGACACGTCAACTGTATGTACCTGGACTCCATCCTACATGATGGTAAAGCTTTTACTCTACGATGGGTGTGTAAACACGATTGAAAAGTTATAAGAGTAGATAGGAATTGAACATTCATGTTGTATTCACAATTTTACTAAAGATATTCCAGTTAGGGAGAATTACATTCATGACAGATGTTTGTGTTAAAAAGGTTAACGAACTAAATGCAAAAGTATCAAGTATGTAATAAATAGGTAGTTGTACTGTGAACTTGAAGTTAAACAGATTTTTTTTTCAAAAAAGACAAAATGGTAACCGACAACAATATTAATCAATAAATAGTCTTGAGGTGACAATGATATTTAGCTAAATATTTAATAGTCACTAGAGCAAAGATATAATAGTGATAATAATAATAATAATAATAATAATAATAATAATAATAATAATAATAATAATAATAATAATAATGGTACTAATAATGACTTTATTCTGAAAGATATTTTGGGAATACTCTACAAAATTTTCAGCATACCATATATCATCAATCGGATAGAAATAGTGTATAGTGTAGGAATAATACAATGAAATAAGTATAAATTACACATTAAAGATAAGAATGTTCACTTTATCTACAACTTTCTTGAAATTGCACAGTTAACATAGATAGACAATAACATTAGAAATTCAATTCATAATACATAAATAATAAATAACATGCTTTGTACTCATCAGTTAATTTGCTTTGAAACACAGAAGTTGATTAGTTAGTTGATTTCTAACACTTGCTTCACTGCACAGGAGACGAGATAAAGTCTTATGTATTTGCTCATTGTCTTTCCAGATGACCGACATACACAGAGAGCTTTGAGTGAAGAGGATGCTGGTCATCTGACAAAACAACTCCTACCAGATGTTAACATGAGTTCATGTGTTTGTCCACAACTGTTTTAACTAGACGATTTAGACGTACACCACTAGCTCTCCTGATAATCTTCAAAGTCCTATGCAATATAACATAGTCTTTTTTCCACAATCCAGGAAAAAATAAAGGAGAATAGAAGTTTATGAACACAGGAGATGATGCTGAGTTATACCAGATACTCTCACCTTTCCTATACAGAATGTTAGGTGGAAATTTGTTTTGGAAGTCAGTAAGATATAGGAGGAGCAGGAAATGTTTGGAGAAAAACACACCCAGATAAATGACACTTGTAAAATGAATGTTCTAATGCACAACTATCAGAGAGAACAGGAATCATGAGAACTAAGCAGTTTGCATAGGTTATATTCAGGTTGAAAATTGAAGTTCATAGTCTGATATCTTGTAGAATTAAGCATAAGAGCATTCACGCAGGACGATCATCTAACTAACAGTAGATGGGAAATGATTCAGTTGAAGAGGAGACAGGTATGGGAACTGTTAGGTCATCAGTGTATTTGATGGAATTGATAGTATCTGAAGATGGTAAGTCATACAGGAGGAAAGGGGAAGGAATGGGGGAAAGGATGGGTCCTTGGGGATGGGGGTGGGGTTGGAGTTGGGGAGGAATCAGTCAGAGTAAGCCATGAGGTTGAGCGCTTCCTTCTGTGAACAGTATGTTGTTTGGTTTTAGAGAAATAGGAATACAGCCAGATGATTATCCAGGACTCAGTATTAGTCCCATGTATCATGTGTAGCAGAAGAGGTGTTGGGAGAGAATAAAATGCGGAGTATAGTTTAAGGAGGTACACCTGACATACTTGGCATTTCTATCAAGATTTTAAGCGATATTGTGATATAATAGAGTGGTGGCATGCAAAGAAAGATTAACAATAGTTCTCTTCTGAATAATCAAGTTTAGCCTGAGTTGTTTAACAACCTCTATCTTATTAAAATACAGTATCTTAAAATTCATCTATTCTTTAAGTACTTTGAACGACTCAGAAGATGACGAAATATGGTGCTACTAAACAGCTTCACACATTCCAACCTCCGGTTATTTGCATCACGCTCAGTTAAATTGATAAAGACCATTCATTCATTCTGGAGGTCTGTGGAGATTTATTGATTGATTTAAGGTTAGGCTTCATCACAGACTGACATCAGTTTGGGGAATATTGGAAACCTGGGGCACCGGACAGCTGTTTCGTCCTAGTATGGGACTCAGCAATGAGCACCATGACACCACACCACGACCCTCAGGTTCCGTGGCCAGAACGTTAACGTTGACCAACTGGGTCGAAATCCGATGGTCTATATTTCCTACTTCTGTCATTTCACGATATAGCGCTACCTATATCCAGCGTCGTTGTTGAGTAACTGTCCTCATATTCGACTTAGTTGACTCCACTGGTTACTACTTATGATTGGAAGTTCGAGAATCACCTCTCGAATCTAATCACCACTGAGCAATAGATTAATTCTATCTGGAAGTTTGTGGAGATTTATTAGTTGATTTCAGGTTGGAATTCAGCGTGGAATGAAATCATTTGGAGAAACATTGGTAATCTGGACAGCTATTTTGTCCTAGTATGACTCCCTGGCAAGGTCATGAATCCGGACTGCTGAGGAGTCCAGTACCAGGACTAGACAGCTGTCCAATGTTCCCAGGTTTCCAGTGTTCCTCCAACTGATGTCAGTTCATGATGAATTCCAACCTGGAAGACCATTCTCTCTACTCTTTTAATGTGTATGAACTTTTGAACATAACTGTAAACTGATGAGTGAAGTTGGAGGCAACATGGAAGGAGAAACTGTTGCTTTCTGACTATTTCAGTAACGAAACAATTCAATGCATAGAAACTAGTTCAAGAGGCAGATAAGTTCTTACAGAAATTTCATCTTCTATAAAACTAATATGAAGAGAAATAGGCTTCTGCTCATATTGTTATAGTCACAGGTTATGCTTTTCCGGGTGAAGAGATTTACTTTCATGCAACTATATATTTTTCAAAATAAAAGGTTCCTTGAAGCAAATTTTTCATGCGTGATTAAAAGCCTTTTGCATTATAAGTGGTAAGAAACAAATCTAGTCAATTGGTGGAAAGTGAAAGATCAGTTCTGGCTTGAATAGCTCTAGTGGTAGAATTTCTGAGTTCATGTTTAGGTGATTTAAGTTCACATCACCTGATGAATTCCAATAAGCATGAAATCTTGGTCCAGAGCCTCCTACCTTTCAACTTATCAAAAAAAAGTAAATTATAGGTATCATCAGTAGTGTATCGATATGCTGGGAATTAATTTGACTTATGCACAAAATGAATACCTACGGGAATCAATACAATTTAGACATCTCAATGAGTGTATACTATATAATGTTGGTCATTTCAGTTAGTGCATATGTTAAAGACAAATCCATATAGTATCTGAGTTTCAAAAACTGAAGAAGCTGCAGATAAACTACCCTAAATCTACGGATTGCTGAATAGATTTCTTTGTATCAACTGAATAACAGACCTTAAAGCACCTATTCATCATAAATGTGTTAAGATTAAGGCTTTTTCCTCAATATGAAATTCCAATACATCAAGTATAATGCCCAAAAACAAAGCGAATAATATAGTAATAGTGGGTATTGGCTAGTAGTGGAAATCACGACGCTCGTTTCGTCTTATTTGGGACTCTTCAGCTGGGTTTACCTACCTCCCAGTGAGCGATGTCGTTCCCACTCAATGACCTAGCGTTTGAAGAGGGTCTTATTGGGAACAACATCGTCCACTGGGGTGCAGGTACATCCAGCTGATGAGTCCTAAACCGAGCGAAACTCATATCCTAAGCTCTACTGCTAGCCACTATTCATCATTTATTAATATCAAATTAAAACATAGGCAATATTGGGCCATTCACACAAGACCCCCATATATCATTAGAAACCGACCAATTAAGTCCAATCAACAACGGGATAATACAAATAACAATATAGAGTGGATAATAAGCTATACATTTAAATATGAAAGATCACATTATTAAATGCATATTTAGGGACTAATACAATTCAAAAGAAAGTCTATGATCGCTTGAATAGTTCAGTGGCTACTTTTTTCTAACTGAGGAGATAAATATGATGCTAATTGACTTGTCTAAGAAAGTGTCTGTCTCTATAACATTATAGTCATTGCATACTAAGAAATACTGAATCAATTCTACATCATCATTTAACTCTAAAACTTCTTTCAAATATCTGACCTTCTTTTAATTATGGTGAATTATTTAGGTGGGAAAAAAAATTTAGCAAATCAATCAAATACTTCAAATAATACTCTTATGCAACTTTAATGTATCATGATTGCATCTAATATCATTGTCTATTTACAAGATTTGATGTGTAGATTATGAAATCAGTGAATGATCGAAATTACAATGACTATTCGCTAAATAGAATTGGCAATATTTAAGTCAAAGTTATCGTTTTTAATCTCTTCTTCGTATTTCGGTGTTGTTCACTCACTAATTAAGACATTGAATACATTTAGAGATAATGACAATATCCTAGATATGTTGAAAGTGATCGATTTATCAGAACACTTCCAAAAGTATTAGTTTTCGCTAAGAATTACACATATAGAATAAATATTTTATTACTAGATGAAATTTTATGTATAGTAAAGTTAATTGGAAACAGTACACCATTTAGAAACAATTTAAAATTTCAAGACAATCATTACTAATCATTTCAACAATTTTATTACGAGCTGATATTAATTGGCGATTCTGAGGGAGTTGTGGAGATTTGGAATTATTTCAAGTTGTTATTCATCGTAGACTGACATCAGTTGGAGGAACAAACGAAACCTGGGAGCACTGGACAGCTGTTTCGTCCTAGTATGGGACTCCTCAACAACTTGAAATAATTCCAAATCTCCACAACTCCCTCAAAATTTAATTGAACTGGTGCTCATTGGTGACTAGTTTCGAGAAGTATTCCCGAAGTTCCAATGACAAGTCGTGACCGGTGGAGTCAAAGCCTGATGGCTATGAGGACAAATACTCAGCGATGACATTGGGTGGCGGTTGCGCTATATATCGTGAGCTAACAGAAGTTGGAAATATGGAGCATTGGATTCTGACTCAGTGGCTCAATGGTAACGCGCTGGTCGCGGAACCTGATGGTCGCGGGTTCGATCCCTGCTGGTGGGGTCGTGGGTGCGCACTGCTGAGGAGTCCCATACTAGGACGAAACGGCTGTCCAGTGCTCACAGGTTTCCTTTGTTCCTCCAACTGCTGTCAGTCTACGATGAATAACAACTTGAAATAATTGGCGATTCATTTAAAACCTTGGATCATTGGATTATCGAACTTCTTAACAGTTCATATTCATGATTGGAGAGCAGTCAAACTGGAGACCATCAGGTGTAGTGATAAGTAAGTCATCATTCAACCACTGGCTTGGATTCCAGTAGTCCATATTTCTAGAGTTCTCGAGTTTTCATTAGCTCTCCAAGCAATATGAATTCATGATAAATATTCTACTTGAAATCAATCAGTCAGTTCACAAAACTAATGAATGAATGTTTCATATTTATCAATGCAACAAAGTACACTTCATTTATCAGAAGAAAAGTAATCACACTGCCATGTGATTTCGCACACAACAAAGACATATCGGGTCAATATTGTTATCTTAGATATCGCTAAAGAATAGAAACTCTCACAGCATGTCACCTAATGAGTTTGACACTTCATTCCTAACCAAAGCCTCGGAGACCAATCCCTATAGCCGATTATAACAATGTAAACAGCATTGACTTATTGTGTGTTATCTGACCCAGTGTTTCTAGGTAGGAAACTTTTAACCCAAAATCATGATACGTTTGCACATTCTGAAATACTTAGAGTGGAATTTATAGCTCCACTTACTGTGTAACGGAACATTAACTCTACAGGAATGTCAGACTGTATCAATTAAAAAAGATAAAATTAATTGTCAACTTTCATTTTCTGTTCATTCAGCATAAGTAACTTACCTATGTTGGATTCCAGAATAAAACGATGGACAGACAGTGGTTTGGATACTACTGTCTACAGAAAACCGACATATTCCAACAGACTTCACCTCATCTCATCCATCGTCAGTTAAGGCAGGTTTAGTCAAATGTCTACGTGATAGAGCTAGAAAACTCCTTAGACAATGCAAGTACCTGAACAACGAATTTAACCATATATAATTAATAATTACCCTCCACAGGTTATTAAGAAATACATACGAACACATAAAAAACGAAATAATAACTAACACGAGTAGAAATGAGTTCACAGCCTCCATTATGTTACCCTATATGGAAGGTACATCAGAAACTTTACGTTGGATTGTAAACAAAGCTGGAATTAGGGCTGTATTTAAACCTACAAACTCCCTCAGAGATTGGCTTTGTCGGTTGGCTTAAGGATCCGACAGATCTAACTAAGTAAAATAATTTTAATCTGCTAAATTCCGGGCAATGACTGTAAGGTCAAATACATACGTCAAAGTGGCAGGTCGGGGTCAATTAGAATAACGGAACATAGAAATTTAGCAAAATATAGAATGACAGACCCGAATAAGATCAATAATCTAAAAGAACACTCGACTGTTTCAATGCATGTATTAACACACAACCACATAATAGGGTGGATGGGATAAAACCACTGTGCTCAAGTCCAATATAATCGGGTGGAAAGAGAGATTGACTACTGAATCTTTGTACATCGAATCAACCAGCACCCAACACATGTGATAGAAATGACGCAACGTCTATGCCAGAGATATGGGAAATTTTACTACCGATAGAAATTAAGAATGGGAGGTGACACGACTATAAAAATCAGATGTCTAAAGTAGTGTGATTACATTGGTATGATTATGGAGAATAATTTATTCTCGAAACGTCATCCAGTAAATAATACTGTGTCACTGTGCGCTCTATATCAAATGAACAAATCTAATATGGAATTACATTCTACTACACTGCCCAAGATTTACAGTCATATTACTGCACAACTGTACAGACTGAAATGTATCTCACTACCTATAATCAATTTTGAGGGATCCAACTCCACTCGACCGACTTTGATCTGCCCTGATAATCAGTATCTTAACCCCTTATACAATAAGTATGAGAAATCGCCTAGTTAATCAACATCAACCTAGTTGCTGAGACTTTACTTTTATTTCACTTGACGGTTTACTGATGATCAGTATAAATTGACACATCCAACTAAGTATGTTACATTCTGTATTGCTTAATCTCTCGTTCTGAACGAATCACAACATGAATTTCTTAAAGAAAAAATATAACGTTTACAAAATATATTAGAATTATGCACAAGTATTTGAAATCAGTAGGTGCGCATACGCTGGACAGATGAAAGGAGCGTCGAGGATTTAGATTTCGCCGATTATGATTTATGTCTAATGTCGCACAAACTCGGAGATCTACAGGCGAAAACTAACAAGTTGACAAAAGAGGCGAGGCAGCGAACACTTCACTAATCTGAAATCACTATGGTGATCTACTACACTCAGCACAAAGAACAAGATCCAGATTTTCAACACTAATGTCAAGTCAGTGCTTCTATGTAATGGTTCAGAAACTTGGCATGTAACGAAAAGCATTTCCAACAAACTACAGAGATTCATCAACAGCTGCAGCCTACGCTCACTCGATAAAGAGGATCAGATGAGCGGAATAATAAGAATAAGCAACAAGAAACTCTGGGAACGAACCAACGAAGAAAGAACCTATCACTCAACAACTATGCAGAAGAAAGTGGAGAAGGCCAACTGGAGACATCACGCGCCAGTCCAGCCATCGAGTGGAATGGGAAGGGGAAACTACAAGTTGGGCGTCCGTGGCTAGGGTGACATGGAGGAGATCGTGTGAGGAAGAAATGGAAGGTTGTGGGAAGTCGTGGCGCCAGGTCCAAAAGACTGTAGAGAAGAGAGTGCAACGGAGGCGTGCTACTGAAGCCCTATGTTCCACTAGGAACCCAAGGGAAAAATAATACGATAATAATAATTTGAAATCAATAATAAATATAACTAGACTAGGAAATCTAGGACGCGTACAGGATGACCTGGAAGTGTAATTATGATATTTCGCTTTCACTGAATGAAGAATCCAGACTAACAAATGAGTCAAGTTATCTTTATAGATCAGATAACCTCAGCCAGGACGATGATAGGTGAGTATTTGTAAAAGTGCAGTGCCCATCAAAGTATCCTGCCAAAAAAAAAATCAATAGGATCACCTTAATACGTCTAGCCTTCACATGAATACGACTACTTGTTGTATGACTAATTTGGTATACACAAACAATCCCGGTTAACACCTAAAGTAATAAAACTGAAAAAATAAGAAATTAAGCCTACCGGTGATGCATATCAATAAGATCGCTAACAAAGTGTGAATAAAGAGGTGACATCAAAGATCATCCTAACAACTGTTGTAATAATCAATCAATTTTCGGTATTTCAGTCAGAAAGGCAGTTCTTTCCTATAAGTAAGAAATGTAATTGGTTATTTAAATGACTATCAAAGTAACTCATGCACAGAGTATGTACTTTAAAGCTCATGCTAGCAACTACTGAAATAAGCGATCAGTTTTCCGTTCTTCAACTGGTAAATCCTTTTGGTTCTATAGTACAGACACGTAATTGGTTGTCCCAGCAGTTGTTAGGGTGACCTTTAAAGGAGGGCGGGGGGGGGCATAAGTATTGGTACCACTAAAAGCCACTCTGACAACTACTGAAGTAACCAACCAGAGTTCAGCATTTTTGGAAAACTACCTTTTCAGGTGGGCTTAAGATTCACTGGAACACAAAATGAATGACTTAAAAGGCTACCCATTTCAGCAACTATTGTACTAGTCAATGAAGTTACATCATTTCCGTTAGATAGGTCATTTTGTGAGTGTCTAGATTTATACTTCAGCATAACTTTTATATGAAACTATTTTCGATAAGAAAACAAAAGTGTATTATTTTTCTGCTTTATTTTCCTTCGCTTATACTTGTCATAAATTTTAGATACTAAATTATCCGATCAACAACAACATGGATCAAAGAGAAAAAATCGATTTAAAGCCAATAAAAAGTCTACATCAACTCAAGATGATTTAAAAATTCGATCAAAAAGTGGAAATAAATTTTTAACATGGTGGTCTAAACATGGTTCACCGCATAAATGAAACTGATCAACATGTTTTTTTTTCTCTAAATTTCAATATTTATACTATCAACAAGTAAACAGATACTTCCCTGATCAATATTCATTCATTTCCCTATCAATCTAATTATCGTGAACTATTCACTTGCTAATTGGTTGTATTATTTCCCTCAATATAATAAAATATCAGGTAAGCAGTTAATCATTTTGTAGTATATTATTTTAGTCAAATTTTAATTGAATAATTAAGTCAGACGCTATGCTCAAATTCTCCCAAGATATTTGTAACAACTACGGACTAGATTTCAAGCAAGCGAAATAAACTGCTCAATCGATTAAATATGATGAGAAAGTAATCTATCACTTAGGTCATTGTTCCAGTTCACATTACATCCATCATTTACCTCCTTATTAGCTAAATATTATCCAATGACTAGTCATTGAAGGACAAGCAATTTCATGTTACCTAGTCCTGAGTACTGATCAAATTCTGTCGATCATTTTTCAATGTAACCACTAAGCTATGAGGCTCAGTATGATGGTGCAAGTTGATAGACGTTAGTTGATTGAAGGCAATCGACACGTAGCCCCACTTGACCTAGGTTTCCTGCTTATTGGCACTCGTCAGCAAGGCGGATCTCTTTTGGGATTCAAACCTGTATAAACCTGTGTTACGATCAGTGATGCTACGACTGGCAGGATTGAAAAAATCATTCGTAGAACTTAGTCACCATTGAGGACTAGACAACATGAAATTGGTTACTTTCCACTGACTAATCAATGCATGTAATCCAGTCTTAGAGGAAATCAATCGCAACCCGAATAACTGGATACAATACTATGACGCATATTCAAACCTCACATAGGGCGTCATTTGCCTCGAGGTTGAAACTATACTCTGCTAACGAGTCCCAACAAGCAAGAAACTTGGGTACGAGACTTCTTACCGATTGCTTCCAACCTATCAACATCCATTTAAGTTTTATGCAATTTGTTTCTAACACTAACCTACTTCTCACTCCTAAAGTTCACTTGATTAGTTAAATACTTAAAAATGATGTGAGGAAAGTTTTTATCAGTGTTTTTTTTTCACTACCAATATCCGATATGTTATCATATTGGCTCAGTGTAGCACTTTAGATTTAAAATATTATGATAAATGATGAGATTGATTGAAGTCATGCTCAACATTACTAATTTCATGCTAAATGAAACTGATATAGCAACATCCTGGATACCGAAGATTTCACTTTTGTAAAGATACAGGAATTGACTGAACGATGTTTAGAACGAATCTTCTAAAGATGACATGTATCAGTTGATACTACTTCCATGTACTATAATGTTCTCTTTAGCATACCATCTATCGAATTACTGGCATTTTCGTCTACTTCATCATTCTAATTAGACTGGATTATTTAAACTATAATTTACTTTGTAATAGTGCATAGCGATGATTTTTGTTCCACTTTATTTGGTATGCATCTCATGTATGTGATTTATCCTGATAAGAATGTGCTTTTTTTTTCTTCGATTAGCGCTTAAACTACTTAAAACATTTTAGTAGACTTGAAAGTCAACTAATTAATAGATTGGTTTTGTTGTACAACACTTTATGTACTACTAACTCAGTATACCCTTCATGTTCATTATTGTATAGATTAGTTTTGCTTAGGATTTTTTTTGATTATGCTTGCTTGGTTTATAACCAATTTGTAGAAGTACAAATTATGCAGGCCTATAGTATATTTAGTTTTTTTTATCTGCTTATGTGTTAGATAGGCATTTTTAAAAGTTACACTCTTTAGAATATATCACGAGTATGCAGAAAAATAAATTAACTAATCAATGTCGCCTTTTATGTAGAAGGATTGAACAAGTATTGGCAAAACGTGAAAATTACTTTCTTACTGATTTATTTTGTACACAAAAATGTACGTTATATAATTTATTTTGTAATGTAATGAATCCTTCTGAAATTGAATGTGACACACATTTTGAGTTCACAGGAGAATATTTCTCCTTTCCTAGATATAGCTTCAAAATACATATTAGTGTTTTGAACGTCTTCACCCTTTATCAAATCAACTAAATAAACTTCGCTAACTAAATCTTTGGCATCTTAGACCATGGACATATACTGTGTTTGTGAGACATGCATAAAGGACTTAAGCATAGTTATTTACTAAGCTTCATCCGGTCAATATACTCATTGTGCAAAATTTATCCCTTGAGTTTCTAGAGATTCGATGGTTTGTATTCACAGTCTTTTAGGTGCAGGTATACCATTGGGTCCTAAGGAAGAAACTTCACCACTCGACTGCATTCCAATGACAGTCACCTTCCAGTCGACTGAATGGACTAAAGAAAATAATGAAACTAACCATTTTCTCACTGAGTGGTTGAATTCCCTAGGAAATGAAAGATGATTTATGCCGAAAACTATCTAGATTTCTACTAAAATCTAAACGCCTGGATACGGTTATCTCAGTAGGTGGTTTTAATGCACAGATGGATAAGTTAAGTCAGATAGGAAGGGATTTAAGTGAAACTTTCGAAATCCTAACTGAACAAGCAGATACCCGTGATTATGTGCTGCAACTGTGCTGGCACGAACTTCAGACATAAAGAAGGACATTATCCGAAGTGGCATCTGCCAACTTCAATCCAGCAGTGCACATAGATAGACCATAATTTTATCATTTGTCACTAGAGAGGGTTGATGGAAGATTATCGCTCCTTTTGAAGTACGTGTTTGGCACAAACAGGCGTTTGTCCGCAACTGAGTGGACGCAGAGAAATTCCAGCAACAAGGCATTTCTGAATATAAATCAATGATGAAAATACTGAGTCTTCTTTCAGCTAGAAGTTAGCAAGATAGTTATTGTAAGAACAGCGGTAAAGATTGCAAGTAAATCTCAAAAATAGATTGAAAGTAGTCAGTTAAACTCAGCAGTATCTCCTAAATTAGTAGATACACGCATTCCTGCAGGCTTCGAGCACAGTAAGAAGTGCAAGCAACTCAAATATGGTCTACATAATGACCGTGAGTAGTCATGGGTAGCGAAGACCAAAGAGACCGGAAAGACAGCTGCTGTAGATAACAGAAGACAGTTATTTCAACGACTCAGGGGAACTGGGACAAAAAAGTTAATGAACAGTGATACTAATGCGGAGAAGGATGGGTTCGCGATTTACTATCATGGAAAAAGACTGAAACGTTGAGTAGAATACTTTGAGGAATGGTTCAACTAGCCTCCAGCTTCTATTTCGTTGGGCATTATCTAATCGGAACCTGAACGCAGCGTTGAAATAGGGCCTCTAGCTCTTTCTGAGTTTTAGAAAGCTGTAAGTAACTTGAAATGATGAACGGTCAAATGAGCCAGTACCGAAAGCATTTGACGTTACGTTAAGTGAAGTGTTAGCTAGTGTATATGAGTCAGTTATAATCCCCTCTGGTTTCACTCAGTGATAGTCTCAGTCTTCAAGAAAGAGAAGAAATCCTCTTATAGTAATTACAGCGGGATCACTCTGAGGGGCTTCACGTCTAAGATTATAGGTCCTGTGGTCATTAGACGTCTGGGTTAATGCTTAGGAAATAAACCTCGAGAAAACTAAGCAGATTTCAGACCAGGTCCAGGGTGCATCGACCAGATATTCATTCTCAACCAAGTTCTATCACTAAGGCACATTTACCACCACCTGAAACTAGTTGTATTTCTTGACCTAGAAGTAGAATTTGACTGTGTTGATAGAGAGGTTTTACGACAGTGTCTCACACTGAAAAGGAGATCAGGTAAATACATCACCATGTTGAAGGCTGTATACTTGAACACCTGTAGTTGTATTCGAGTCTGTTGGCAGTTATCACGTGGATTGTGTACACAGTGTAGTGTCTTTCAAGGATATCCACTCTCCAGTAATTTTTATACTCACATATGTCTTCCTCACATCGTCTAACTTAAAAGAAGTTAATCTCGTCTCCGGAAACTCCTTAATAGACCTAGAGTACGAAGACCACATATTCTTGTTAAGTAAAGACTGTGACTAGATGCAGAGCCCTTTCAATACCTTGAATAACAAATTGACAATGTTTGGGATGCGCTTCTCACCTTTGATATGCGAATTGGTGCTCCAAGACTGGTCTCTGCTGGCATCTTGCTTATCTCCACATACCTGGGAAGTTGGATGGACGATGATGAGCCAGTGACCGATGGAATCCTTGGTTGGAGACAATGGGCTCAATTGGCCCTCACCAACCTACACCATATGTGTTGTCACCGTGATATCATTGCCTATTAAGGGTCAGTTGCACAGCACTGCAGTTCACTTCGTTCTACTATTTTGTTATGACACATGGCCATTAAAAGTGGAGGATATGAAGTGGATTCAAGTGTTCAATCACCGTCGCCTTCGTAGCCTACTCTGTGTCACGTTGTCACCACGTCAGCAACACAGAAGCCAAGTGTACAGTTTTGGGCAGAAAGGAGAATGTGAATGAAAAATGCTAACAAATTTTTCTGCTGAAGAATTTGCTTTGGAAAGTCTTTTTAGCTTTCAGATAAGTGCCCATATGCCAACAGCGGGAAACTCTGCATCTGAGCTTCACGGTTGCTTGCACTCATCAGCAACGTATGTCAATAACCTTTAGGGAACTGGTGTCTTTTCAGAGGTCTGAATTCACATCACTCCGTTCATCACTTAGAAATGTTATTAATGGGCCATCCCACCTGTGACTGACCTGTATTAGGATTGCATATAGCAATCAATCCTATGGGATCAATAAAAATGCGTCTTAATGGTCAGGTTCCTAGCTCGCTGACCATAATACAAACTTAATAGATAGGATCTAGTCAATACTTGAGATTGGACAAGAATCCATTGGTAGTTCTACAGCTGTCACTCAGTGTTTTTATATATTTAACGTAACTGACATAACATTCAGTATGCGAGAATCCTAGCTACTTTCAGCCAAGTACAACGAAGTGCGATTTCACAATACTTAGGTAGGGGGTCATAGCCCATATCTTGAATAGTACAAATATTCATTTAAAACCATAACAATAGACAAGTTAACCTTCTATAACATGCTTATGTACCTATTCTAATCAGGAAGACTTAGTTCAATGGTGACTTGTCTAAGTGAATTAATGATGCTTTAAACACACTTTACACTTCTGAGTGGTAACA